GAAAAGGAAAACACAAAGAATTTCTCTACAGATTTCCTTACTAAAAGTTTGGTAATGATAATCAAAATCGTTGATCAAATTGTAGCAAATGATCCAGATTTTGAAAGGAGTGCAAAAACAAGAAGAGGCATTTTGGATGCAATCTCCTGCAACTGACATTTGCTTAAGGAAAGAAAAAGAAAGCAACAAATGAAACTACATGACTTTATCGCAAAAAACAATAATTTCAGAAGAGCTAGGGCTTTCATCAGAAAACATTTTTTGTGATGAAGGCCCTAGCTCTTCTGAAATTATTGTTTTTTGCGATAAAGTCATGTGATAACTTTACATTTCTGTGTTCATATGTTTGTGTTATTTAACATATTATTATGCAAATTAATATAAAAATAACTTAAAATTAAAGTAAAATCTGTTTATTTTTAGTCATGTGTTCTTCTTTCTCTATTTACTCTGTGTTAAAATGACCTTGTTTAATGCTGTTTCATTTAGCACTTTGTCATCTAGGAACGGGTCTTACTGTATACAGGAAGACATGGTTTCAAATTTAATAAGCTACATATTATGTTAAAAGTTTTGATTTAGATTTAAACTATTAATATTTACAAAAATATAGTAGGACCTCACCATATCATGCCTTGTATTTGGATGGATCATTGTTTTTGTCTCCAAATATGAAAGTTTTTAACAATAATGGATGGATAAATTGGTTATTTGCCATCTGGTATATTTCTCATTCAATTTGTCTCCCTACATGTGGGATTTAAAAAGAACTACTGTATTAGCAATTACTTAAAATTTAATTTCATAAAATACTGTAATATTATGTGTTAGACATAGATGACAATTTTTTGTAAAACTCGGACCTCAGAAAATAAAGAAAGAAAAAAGCAGTAGTAGAAATCAAAAAAATTTTTTGAATTTGTTTCTGAAGAAAATAGGAGTTTTGCCCTTAAGTACAAAATTTATTGCCCCAAAAATGAATTATGTTACTAAGAGCATCTAAACAATAACAGTTATTTTTTAAATATAGAATATTTTTTTTAAACTGCTATAATATTTTAAAAATTAATGTTACAGTAAGTATAAGTTACATGAAAAGTATTACTATATATTTTAATCAATACTGATTTATTCTTATGCAATAATTATATGAAGATAACTTTCATTATTTGTTTATGAAAAAGTTTCTAAAATTTGTTTTCACTAGACTGAATGAGATATTTCAATTGAATGAAAGAAAGACTTAAATTTATTTGGTTAAATTAATTAGTCTTTCTTTCATTAATTAAAAAATGCTTTTAAAGTTAAAATTTATTTAAATTATTATTTTTATTAAACACCTTTAAACTTATTACTTTTTTTCACGTTTTATCGAGTATATTAATTAATTATGAAAAATGCTTATTTAGTTTGATTGGCAGAAAAGTAAAATTCATTATGTTATAGACAAGTTAAGAACTATGGTGTCACATTTTTCTTTAAAATTTTTAAATTTAAGTAGTTTTGAAATGCCCATTTTTTAATTAGAGCAATATTTCATGTTGCTACAAAATTTAATGTATTTTATACATAGCATAAAAAATAATTCTTTGTTTCAAAATTTGAAATGAAAAGTAAAGTTATATGATTAAATTTAATAGCATTTGTAACAAGCCAACAACTACTGGATTATATTGGGCTATTATATTGCAATTATTTCCAGATTATATCACTATTAATAGTCTGATATAATCCGGTAGTTGTTGGCTTGTTTTGTATGTACATTGGGTTTGTGATGTTGGTTTATGTCTTAATAACATTCTCAGTTTAACTTTTAAAGTAAATAGTATTCTAGAAAACCTTGATTCACAAATAATTATTCTTCTGTCTTCATTATTATCACTTGAGGTAAATCAAAAATATCAGGATTTATAATTTTTTTGTAATATGCATGTGTTTTTAGAAACCAACTGAATGCAAAGTCCAAATAATATCTAACCTAATATTTTTACCTAATATATAGCAAAGCATTTAAAAATTAAAAGTACAATATGGCTTTCCTTAATGATTTTAATTCATTACTGAAAACTCTGTTGCAAAGCAAAAAGTCATTAAATGAATAAGCAAATTCCATTAAGGTTGAAAGCATTTGTTTTGATGTTTTTATTAAATGTTTTCCTTTTGTTACTGAATTATAAAGGTTTGTTGATGTTTGTTTGGTAAATTCCATTAATTTCAATAGGAAAAATTGTAATTCATTCCATTTTGATTGAAGATATGCAATCAGTTTTTGCAGATAGAAAAATATAGCAGTTGAGAACAATGAAAATAAGTTTCAGATTGTTGTTTATTACTAATGTTTACAAATGTAAAGCAAATAAATACAATTTGAACAAAAGATATAATATAATGAAGGCTTTTTTTTTTGTACTCACTAAAAGAGGCTAAGAAGATTTTAATGTTGTGATGGGTGGTGGTTGATGATAAAGGAGAATGGAGTCATTTTCTAGAAAGTTGTGTAGAATTATGTGATCTGTTTTATGATTCCATGTCTAAATTAAATGTACTCAATGGTAATTTTCTTTTTCTTGCTATTATTACACTAAAATGTTTTGATTATGAAAGGCTTCAATATAACTGTATAATTGAAAATATCTCTAGGTGAAAGAAATTCAAGATAAAAGTTTGTTTGCTTTGTTGTAGTTTACATTTGTACATCATAATCTTTTTTCCCTTGTGGACACTAAGATAGCCTTTCATCAGGCTTATTGTAGGTTTTGCTAGGTCCACAATGGGTGATCGGATAGTGAGGGATGGGTCTGACATATCTGGAAAAGACCACCTTCAAAATTTCTTGGGGTTTTTTGACCTGACATATTTATTTCTGGAGTCTCCAAAGCAATTGACTGACACCTTAACCATTTGGTCATCTGACTGTTCGTATCTCTTCTTGAAGAGTGCCAAAGCATATGTGAGCATTTTTGAAACTACTGTATAATTAGCAATAAAATTATGGACAATGCCTGTTGTCAACATTGTCCATAATTTATCTTAGCAGTGTCCAAATTTTTCTTTGCCTTTTCTTCTTCTATAACTTTATTAAAGAACATATGTGTGTATTCAAGTTCACTGAATGTAAGTTCTTCAACATTGTATTGCAAATATTCATCTGTTATTTGCATAAATTTTCTGGAACCTAACTTCTCTTGCTAGAATTGAAATGTTTTTGTTTTGTATCACTCACTTCATTAAATTCTCTAACATCTATGATGAATTGAAAGTAGTATTTTTAATACAGAATTGTTTGTGGAGTGATTTCCTTTTCAATTTATTGCAACTTTTCTCATTTTCTTTTCTTTCTGCACTATTTTCCTTATTTTTTCAATCTATTTTGAACTCATTGTTGCAACAGAAAATTCTCCTGAAAAATTCATTTATGGAAAACTGAAGACTAAATATAACACTTTAAAATGTAGAAAATTGTACATAGGCACAACAGACTAAAGAGCATTTTGTTGCCAGTTTAAGAATAAATTAGTGGATATGTTTTTTTTATTATAAAAAGCTTTTTTTACCTTAAAAAAAATATGCAGGGAGGCTAAAATGTCTTAATTTTTTGCCATGTCCAATCACCAGGCACTACAGTCTTCCACCTTGGAATAAAAGATTGGAGAGACAACCTTTATTAGAGGCAAAGCCTCTAATAAAAGATTTCCTCTATGCCTTTTATTAGATGTTTAAAGTCTTTCATTGCAGAGACAATATTTTATTAGAGGTTATGCCTCTAATAAAAGGTTCTCTCTGCAATGGAAGACTGTAGTTTCTGTTGATTGGTGAAAAATGTGGTGAAAAATGAATTGTTTTTTCACCACATTTTTGGGATGTGGTGAAAAATGAAGACATTTTAGTCTCCTCTATGTATTTTTTTTTAATGAGTAGAAATTGTCAGCCAATTTTTAAAATAAAAAAAAAAGCCTTTTTGGTTTAAAAAAAGTTGCTATACTGAAAAATGGAGTTATTGCCCAAAAAGTGGTATAACTTTTCAAAAATCATTATAGCAAAAAGTCATTGAACAGTTGATAATGGAGGGATAGGTATAGTTGAAAAAGTTTATAAATTCTTTCTGAACTTAAAGGCTTGATATTTATTTGTTTAAATAGATATTTGATTAAGTCAGATTCCAGCAAGTTTTAAATCAGATATATGATAATTTAAAATGATTGCATTTTAGCTTAAAAAATTTCACATTTTATTTAGATGAAGGTAACATCAATTTTTTCCACGTATTTCTTTATATAATTTATGTAAAAAAAACTTAATTAAAATTATAAACTGAATAGAAAAAAATATTTGGGTTCAAAATTGATGTTGCTTACTTTCTGATTACAATTGATAGTTTTAAAATACAGTGGAACCTCGGTATACGACCTTAATCCGTTCCCGATGTTTGGACTTATACCGAATTGGACGTATACCAAACCACCCTTTCCCATAAGAAGTAATGTAAAAATGATTAATCCGTTCTCGTGTAAAAAAACTGGCTGGCTTTAAACACCTCGCTTTCCTGGCTAGTTCCTGCTTGATTTTTCGTGAGATCAGCGTGTATCTTTTTAGCTTTCTCGCAAATAATTGCTTCCGATANGGGTTCAAAATTGATGTTGCTTACTTTCTGATTACAATTGATAGTTTTAAAATATTAAAAATATTTTTTGAAATTAAAATATAAAACTTAATAAATAGTAATTTTTATTTAAATATTTTTAAGATCTCTGAATTTATTTATTTGTTATTAGAGAAGTATATTAGATTATTATTGGATAAATTAAATTATTTTATAATTTTTAAGAACAATGTTTTATCTGAATATAATATTTTAAAAAGTTTGTTTTAATTCAAGTTTCTATAAAAGATTGAGAAAAATTACCATAACATTTTAAACTAATAAAACATTGTTATTAAAGATCTGATTTGTTTTTAATTTTTTGTATTTTAATTTTGTTTTTAATGTATATTTTTTGTAGCGAATCACAAAAGTCATGCGTTCCATTAGTTCTCCTCCAGGTCAGTAATTAATTTAATTTAGTAATTTAAATGCCAAATTATTAAATTATTTTTTCCACTGTATCATTAATCACATCTAAAAATTCTGTTTATTGTTAATAATAAAAACATAAAAATATTCAAATCAAAATTTAAAATCAAATGTACCTTAAGTTTTAGAAATTAATTCTGTATGAAAATATGAAGCTCAAAATGGTGAAAGAAGCTAAGAAATGGTAAATATTGTAAGTAAGGTTAACAAAATTAACAGGCAGAAGTATATTATAGATTTAATACAATTATACAGTTAAATTTTTAATATTTAAATTAAAACTTTTTAATTGATTAAAATTATTAACTGTATTAGTAATTATGTTTAATATATATTAAAAGTTTATACTCATTTTGGCAGCAGAGTTTAAGATATTACTTCTTGTTCGTGACATCATAATTTTAATTTTCACTTTGCACATGGATATCTATCTTTATCACTTTTTAACAGAGATTGTGATTTAGGTGGAGTATCTGTTACTGCAAGGATATATATAACATTGCACTTAACTAAATTAAAAAATAATAAAATAGCAAACATACAATGGCATATACATGATTTAAAAATTACACAAGGGATTTTATTAAGTACAATATATATTCCTGAAACTTTTAACTTTATATGGTACAATAACAATAATGATGGGTGCTGACTACATAAAAGGTTTTAACTGCATAGTTAACTAGTATAAAAGGCAATGTAATTTAACTACTAGTTAATAATGTAGATACTTTGTTTATATAAAAAGTACAGTGGGTGATCGGTTAACGAACAGATTGGATAACGAACACTTTCGCGAAAGATTTTTATGTTCGGACAATGAACACATGATCGGATAACGAACACCCCATAGAACAAACACAAGATGAAGCGACGTAAAATAATGAATACCGATTGGTCTTCCCTTGTCTTCGGGCAACAATTTGAAACTTTTCGGAGTGTGGGCGACGTTGACATCGACACTCAAGCCGGTATATACCAATCGGATAGTATTTCTCTGAACTTTCAAATTCTCCCTTGTAATTCCAGCCTTTTATTTTTCTGACAAAACAATTCTATTGTGTATTTGCGAGACTGTCGGGTAGGTACTCGTTAAGTTTTGTGCCTGTTTTTCTTTTCGAAAGGTGAGAGTATAATAAAAGGTTCTCTCTGCAATGGAAGACTGTAGTTTCTGTTGATTGGTGAAAAATGTGGTGAAAAATGAAGACATTTTAGTGAGCAGAAGATGCCTAATGTTGCTGGGCAATATGGCGTAAACAGGTCTACAGTAGGTCTCAGTTCAATCTTATTTAAGAAAAATTCTGTATAATCAAGAAGACTACAGCAGCTAAAGGAGTAACAAAAATCACATCTGAGAAATAAAGAACATCAAAGAGTTCTTAATATAACCTGAAACGGATCTGACGACAGAAGAATGCCAAGAACTCTTGAATGAAGAACACCAAGAAACTTGGTGAGATATGTTTTCTTCTGAAAAGTGGATTAATGCCGATATCTGTTATTAAAGATCCTTTGAAGAAGTGGGAGGATGTCAGAACAATGGTCTTAGAATGACATCCAAACCAGGTTAAGGCTTGGGGATTTCTACAATTGCAATCCTATTAATTACTTACAAAAATTCCTGAAGAGAGAAAAGCAATCGACATTAGATAGATTCTTTAACCCATTTCAAATGGAAAAAACATGACTAATAAAAATGCAAGACTGTGTATGTATGTAGTTTTATTATTACATATAAATATAGTAAGAAAGTATATATTTTTTATTTTTTGGGGTCTCCAGAACAAATTAATTAAATTCCCATTAAAACCTATGGTAAATCGATAATCAGTTAACTAACAATTCGGATAGTGAACAAAGTCTTGGAACGGATTATGTTTGTTAACGATCATCCACTGTAGTTTAAACTACTCACAAATAGAAAATCAAAATACTAAACTACATTAACATAATAGTTTTGTTTTCATTTCATCCTTATTATTTAGCACTTTTATATATATGTTACAGTCAAAACCCGTTTTTAGTTAGAACGCGTTTTAACTAGTTGAAACTAGTTTATACTTACGGTGACCATACGTCCTTTATTTAAGAGGACAGTCCTTTATTTCACTGCTCTGTCCTCTAACTTTATTTATTTTATAAAATAGGCATTTTGTCCTTTATTTTGTAAATTCAATGCAAAGTTTAAAATCTTTTTTAATAATATATTGAACAAGTTAGTTTCATGTACGCCATCACGATCAGTGTTGTCATCGTGTCCATACATCGCTACATAGAGCGTGGTAATGCAGTGTGTCGCCAACCGAACGGCCCTTTGACAGTACCAAGGAGCGGATACTCTTATGGGAATTTTTGTGATAGTTTTTTAACTCTCTGGTTGGTGGATGATACACTTGGAGCGTTGGTGAGCATTCGTCGACACTTGTCGACAATCTTCGGGGGCTCGAGCATGTGACATATTTACTGTTAATGTACTAAATAATTGGGACATGTGTTTTATTGAAATAGAGGTGTTTGAATGGGTCACATTACTCAAAATCCCTTTGTGGGTGAAGGTAGAGGAAAGCTAGATTTTTATTTCNTATGTAGTTTTATTATTACATATAAATATAGTAAGAAAGTATATATTTTTTATTTTTTGGGGTCTCCAGAACAAATTAATTAAATTCCCATTAAAACCTATGGTAAATCGATAATCAGTTAACTAACAATTCGGATAGTGAACAAAGTCTTGGAACGGATTATGTTTGTTAACGATCATCCACTGTAGTTTAAACTACTCACAAATAGAAAATCAAAATACTAAACTACATTAACATAATAGTTTTGTTTTCATTTCATCCTTATTATTTAGCACTTTTATATATATGTTACAGTCAAAACCCGTTTTTAGTTAGAACGCGTTTTAACTAGTTGAAACTAGTTTATACTTACGGTGACCATACGTCCTTTATTTAAGAGGACAGTCCTTTATTTCACTGCTCTGTCCTCTAACTTTATTTATTTTATAAAATAGGCATTTTGTCCTTTATTTTGTAAATTCAATGCAAAGTTTAAAATCTTTTTTAATAATATATTGAACAAGTTAGTTTCATGTACGCCATCACGATCAGTGTTGTCATCGTGTCCATACATCGCTACATAGAGCGTGGTAATGCAGTGTGTCGCCAACCGAACGGCCCTTTGACAGTACCAAGGAGCGGATACTCTTATGGGAATTTTTGTGATAGTTTTTTAACTCTCTGGTTGGTGGATGATACACTTGGAGCGTTGGTGAGCATTCGTCGACACTTGTCGACAATCTTCGGGGGCTCGAGCATGTGACATATTTACTGTTAATGTACTAAATAATTGGGACATGTGTTTTATTGAAATAGAGGTGTTTGAATGGGTCACATTACTCAAAATCCCTTTGTGGGTGAAGGTAGAGGAAAGCTATATTTTTATTTCGGATCATTGGTCTGTAAATATACTCAACAGTGAATTATTTGATGAAGTTTTGTGTGTAAAAAAATGTCACAAACGAAAAGATCGACGAATGGTGACAGAATAACAAGCCCTGCCATCAAAAGTGGGTTGAAATTTTTGAACGTTTTACAGCAAAAGAAATTGCTTTCAAAAACATTTGTAAAATCGTAGAATTTCCTTTATGTCTCTCTGGATCTAATGCCCCGTCGAATGAATATTTTCATTGGTGAATTATATGTGGACAAATGAAAAAATCCAGTTAAAAGTAAGCACATTATTTCTGTCAAATACAACTTTCAAATTAACTGTATAGAATTTTAAAGCGTTTTTTTGAACCAGTGCTATTAAAAAAATTAATTCTACTGAAAAGTATCAAAATTAATGTTATTTGAATTTTTACAATGTGTATGTATGTGTAATAAATGTTATAAACTTATGAATTTGATAAGATTTTTTTTTTCTTCTTCGATATGTCCTTTATTTTCCCCCAAAAAATATGGTCACCGTATTTATACTGAATGTCTTTGTTAAAACCCGTTTTGTCTAGTTAAAACTAGTTTTAACTCAAATTCATTTTTGACTAGCAGTAAATTCTAGTTTTAACTAGACAAAACGGGTTTTAACAAAGACATCCAGTATAAACTAGTTTCAACTAGACAAAACGGGTTTTAACAAAGACATTCAGTATAAACTAGTTTCAACTAGACAAAACGGGTTTTAACAAAGACATTCAGTATAAACTAGTTTCAACTAGA